TTCCAATTCTATTCCTAATCCAATTCCTAATCCTGATCCTATTACTATTCCTAATCCTATTCCAATTCCTAATCCTAATCCAATTCCTAATCCTGATCCTATGTCTAATCCTAATCCTATTCCAATTCTATTCCTACTCCAATCCTATTCAAATTCCTATTCCTAATCCAATTCCTAATCCTGACCCTCTGTCTAATCCTAATCCTATTCCATCCCATCCCATCCTTAATTGGAGCTGAGATGTTCAGAAGACGGACACCTGTCCCCCTCCCTCCGTCACTTCTCTGCAAGTGACATTTGGGCTCCCCAAACCATGAACAGACTCCTCCTCCTCCTCCTCCTCCTCCTCCTCCTCCTCCTCCTCCTCCTCCTCCTGTTGTTCTTCCACATCTTCTCTTTTCCAGGACGGGAGAAACGTGGCTCGGTGGCAGTAAAGTACCACATCCGGAAGTATGAGGAGAGAGACTATGAGATGCTGCGCACTTTTTACATTCAAGGGATCAAGGAACATATTCCTCGGGCGTTGTGGCACTTTCTCAGCTCTCCTCAGACACACCTGGGTCTTCTGTCCATCTTCCTCCTGACCTACCTGAGCTCGGCTTCCTACACCATCTCCCTGGCGGCCGCGTCCATCTTCCTGGTGGTTGGCGTGCCTTCCATGAAAAACTTGTGGGACGACTATCTCCAACATGCCCTCACCACGGACATGATGGACATCAGGAGGACCTACCTGGAGACCAAGGACTCCTGTTTCTGGGTGGTGGACACCGGAGAGGAAGTGGTTGGCATGGTGGCCATCATCCCTCCAGAGAACCCATCTTGGTGGGGCAACGCCCGGGAGCTGAAGCGTTTGTCCGTGAAGAAGGAGCACCGAGGCCAAGGGCTCTCCAAGGCCCTCATCAAGACTGCCATCCAGTTTTCTCGGGAGCGCGGCTACCAAGAAGTCGTGTTGGGTACTTCCATGGTACAACGCATTGCTCAACGGATCTATGAGAACATGGGCTTCCACAAAGTCCTACAGTTGAACCCTTCTTTCTTAGCTAAGTTGGTAGGCTTTTCGGTCTACTGGTATTACTACAAAATCCCAGACGCTCGCTGAGGTCTGCGCCTGAGGTCACAATTCACCTTCCACAAAGGGAGAAGCGAGTTCTAACATTCAGACTCGATGGCTCAGCAGGCAGGCTCAATGTCAACTCGCAAAGCATTCCTGGCTTGCTCTCGAGTTGCCGTAAGAAGGAGGCCGGGAGTGGGGGTGGGAGATCTGATGGGAACAGTTCGGTTGGTATGACCAGAAGCACATTCCACGCATACCTTCCTCCAGTTTGTGTCCCAGGTTAGCCAGAGCCAGCCGGAAAAGTGTGTTTTCTACAGCCCGGGAAAGTCCTTAGTTGGAGAATGTGATTTATGACACACCCTGGGACGAGGGGGAGGGGGAACAGGGTCATAGGTGGGCAATAAATTACGTAGAGCAGAGCCACCTGCACTTGGGAAAAAGGCCAACACGTTGCTCCTAATAAATAATTGGATTTCTTTTGAAACTTGGCTCGATGCTCATGAATTAATTAGGGCATCCGTTGGAACCCTGACACTCAAACTTTCTCCTGGTTGGAGTTGAACCAACACTCTGAAGAGGCTCTGTGTGGCCTGAGTTCAACCCACCTAAAAACGGTTTCCCAACGGAAGGGTCTTTGAACTCCTGTTTATCCGTCTGGCTGAACATACCTGAAAGGATGTCCCAGATATAGCCTACCCTTGGAAGTGCTTACACCCTGTGGATTGCCGGCCATAGGTTTCTCACGGAGATCTTCTTGTTTAAGTTCTATCCTCCTTCATCGGCCAACAGCTTTTAAGAGAAGAAACATGCTGGACCCTTCGCCAAATCTGTAGTAGAGAAAGGGCGGGGGGAGACAAAGGGAGAAAGAGAGACAGAGAGAAAAGAGAAAAAAGAAAGAGAGAGAGGCAAAGAGAGGCAGAAAGAGAAAAACAAATAGAGAAAGAGAAAAAATGAAAGAGACATAGAGACACAGAGAGAGAGAGGAAAAAAGAGATAAAGAGAGAAGAGAAAAGAACAGAGAGAGAAAAGGGAAAGAAAAAGAAAGGCAAAGGGAGAAAGAGACAGACAGAAAAGAGAAAAAAGAAAGGGAGAAAAGAGAAAAAGGAAAAAGACACAGAGAGAAAAACAAATAGAGAGACAAAGAGAAAGAAAAAATGAAAGAGACACAGAGATAGACAAAGAGAAAGAGAAAAAAGAGAGGATAGAGACATAGAGACAGAGGGAAAAGAGAGAGAGAGAAAGACAGAGAGAGGAAAGAAAAAGAAAGACAAAGGGAGAAAGAAAGAAAAGAGAAAAAGGAAAAGGAGAGACACAGAGAGAAAAACAGACAGAGAAAGAAATGAAAGAGAGAGAGAGACTAAGAAAAAGAGACTAGAGAGACAGACAGGAAAAAGAGAGAAAGAGACAAAGAGAAAAGGAGAGAGAGAGACAGAAAGGAAAAAGAAAGACAAAGGGAGAAAGAAACAGAGAGAAAAGAGAAAAAAGAAAAAGAGATACACACAGAAAAAGAGAGACGAAGAGAAAGAAAAAAAGAGACACAGAGAAAGAGAAAGAACGAGAAAGAGAGAGGAAAAACGAGAAAGAGAAGAAAGAGGGAAAAGAAAAAGACAAAGGGAGAAAGAGGGACAGAGAGAAAAGAGAAAAAAGTGAAGAGAGACAAAGAGAGAGAGAAATAGAAAAACAGAAATAGAGAGACAAAGAGAGAAAGAGAAAGCGAGAGGGATCGTCCCAGGGATTGTTCTCAAACTGGGAGAAGCTTCATCTCCTTGGTGCCTTTCGGACTACAATTTCCATGATCCACAGTCAAACAGGCTGGGCTGATGGGAACTAGAAACCAGCATATTTTTGATCTGGAATTTTAAAACAGCTCAAACCCACCTTCAGATTTTGGCCTTTTAGGTCTTAGTTTGTTTTATTATTCACTTTATTTCCTTGTAAAACTCGATATTTTCAAATTTTAAGGAATTGTCCTCTTTATCCTTCAGCTACGCCCGAATCCTCCCCACCCCCAATAATAAATTTCTCCCCTTATCTCTATGCTAACCGCACCAGAGTTGCCACCCTTCCCGCACTCTGCCAAAGAACAAAAAGATTTGATGGGGAAAACCAGGAAATTTTTTTTTAAAAACGACTCCTTTTCTTTGGCAAAACGTTTTGCTTTTTTAAAATCATTTTTTCCATATTCAAGTCAAATTTTACTTTAAAAAATGAACATGCTATTCTGTCCTTTTCAACTACACTAGTTTTTCTTTATTCCAAACTGAAGAATTTGGGGAGTTGAAATCCACACATCTTTACAGTGGCCAACTTTGGAAAAAAAAAAAACTTATCTAAACAACTTTGACTCACAACTCACTCTTATTTCAGCGATCTCTCTCCTGCCCAGTGCCTCTTATACATTTTTGTTGGGTGTACAATGTTCCTTTCATTTTATTTGTGCATAAAGTTGTGTTATTCCACCACCCCCGCCCCCGATAATATAATCTTGTGGCTTTTTAGATCTGGAAGAACTGCCTAATTCAGGAGTCTTCCAGCTTTAAGACTTGTGGACTTCCAACTCCCAGAATTCCTCCTCTGGTCATGCTAGCTCAGGAATTCTGGAAGTTGAAGTCCACGTCTTAAACTGGCCAAGTTGGAAGTCCCTTGTGATATATGATGGATGGATGGATGGATGGATGGATGGATGGATGGATGGATGGATGGACGGACGGCCAGACAGACAGACAGACAGACAGATAGATAGATAGCTGGCTGGGGAATTCTGGGAGATGAAGTCCACCCATCTTAAAGTGTCCAAGGTTAAGAAATACCCCTGTAGAGAAAACAAGGGCACAGACTACGATAACCCTCCAGATGTAAAGAATAAGTTAGGTTTAATTTTCTTTTAAAAAACGACACAGAAGAAATGCAGGCAAAAAAAGTATAAAGGACTGTGCCATAAAATTCTGAATGGACTTTCGAGTCTGCAATCAACAAAGGAACTTATAACTTTTCCCACTATAAATATTTTGGGGGTGTCGGTCTCTTTAGAATTACGCCTAAGCAGATACACACCAGTCAAACTTACACTGTCCGTTGGAATCCTTTTCTAACTCGGAGTACCACGAAGGCCAAGCTTTCCCTCGTGGGAGTGGGCTTAGACTCCAACCTCGAAGTAGGGCAGAGAAAACAATACTGAACACAACTCCAGGAAGTCAATTCTGGAGCAAACATCTCAGAAATAAGACAGCTTCTAAATGATCAGGGTAGTGGGCACCAGGCCCAAACCCTGAATTTCAGAGGGTTCCTTCCTGACACTACATAGATACCCAATCCACCCAATTCCTGGCCTCTTGCTACTTTGTGAACCAAGCCCACCAGTGTCCCTCCGTACTGGCGGAAGTTGCAGGCCCTGGGGGTCTCGGTGTAGGGTGTTTCCCGGGAATGATCTCATGGAGCTAAATTGTCCCCGCGTGGCAAATCGATAATTTGTCCCGCAGTGAATTGCCCAGGACGAAGTGGCAGCGGGGAGCGACACGGAACGGGATGGACGAGAGACGGCTCTGGTGGGTCACCTGGCATGGAGCGGGGTGGGGAGGAGAAGCCAGGGTGAAGGGGGCGGGGCCAGGCAGCCGCGGCCAATTGTCCCATTCCATAGCCAGGACAATAACAATCAAAGCCGGAGAGGAAGTGGCGTCCTTTTTGTCACAGACACAAGGACGCGCGTCAATTTGCGGTGCACACAAAACGGAACGGAGAGAGAAAACGTTCCGTGGCCAGTTTTTCCCCTACAAATTTCCCCTCGTCTTGGCAGGAGATGCTCCTCAGTGGCGATTAAAGGGGACTTTGCGTTTCCGATACGGCGAAACGTCTCTCCAGTACGAGGGCCCTTGGCGCATGACGAAGGGAGCGCCCGCATGTGTTCTTCGATGCCACCTGGACCTTGGGAAGATGTTTTCTTCATTGTGGGAGGGGTAAGGCGGGAAGGGATGCGGGTGGCCCCACAGGTGGCAATGAAAGTTGTCGAGGGCCACATCTGCGGAGAAAGTAAAACGGGGAAGAAGCGGTAGAGAGGCTTTCCCCGCTATGCGCCTCTAACACGCAGTCAGTTTTCGCCATCAAAAGAGAGATCTTCACACAACCCACCTATAACCTAATTAACTCTTGGTTTATATATAAAAGTGAAAGACCACTCACACATCCTCACAAAATCTCCAGAACCGTAAAGCCTACAAACTGGACGTTTGGCAATGTGGGGAATATGACAAGGATATTATATATTTAATAATATAATCACAGCTGCGAGATTGGCTAGTGCACAACAATGGAAATGTAAAGAGACTCCAAGTGAAACAGAAATAATTAGGAAGATCTGGATGTGTGCAGAAATGGACAAATGGACAAAAGAATTAAAAAATAAGGATGAATTGGATTATTACAACGTATGGGATAAGTTTATGGTTGGTTAGAAAAGAGGAAGGATCAAGATAATAAGAAATGATTAACTGTATATATTATATACTACGTATTCAATGTAAATATGTACTATTTTGATATGTAACTTAGCAATGTAAGACAACTATGTGGGTTAGGATTGTACCACGTTCATTGTTTTTAATGTGCTTTTCTGTTTTGTTTTTGTGTTTGTCTAATAAAATTAAAATTAAAAAAAAGTGTCCATGTGATCACATGGTTGCAAACTGGGGATCTGGGCACTGGACAACCAGCTCCCATTTCCAACTATCACAGTGTCCTGTAGTTACATCCACATGGTTTCTGATCTACGGAATGTCACATGTCGCAATCACGGGGGTTCCTCATTTAATCACTCAAGACGTTTCGCTGAACGACGGTAATGGGTCTGCGTTCTTTACAACCGCATTGCTCAGTGATGGAAATTCCTATTCCAATTATCGTCATTAAGTGGGTTCTTCCTCAGTCTCACTTCCCCCAGAAATGCCTCTGGATTCCTTTGTGTGCCATGCCTGTTTCTGGTTAAGCTAGAAGCAACTGCTAACTTGAGATCAGCATTGAGAGAAAGAGAGAGAGAAAGAGAGGGAAAGAGGGGGAGAGAAGAAGGGAGGGAGAAAGAAAGGAAGAGAGAGGGACAGAGAGGGAGGGAGGGAGAGGGAGAAAGAGAGAAAAGGGGAGAGACAGGGAAAGGGACAGAAAGAGAGGAAGGGAGAAAGGGGAGGAGAGAAGGAGGAAGAGGGAGAAAAAGGGGGAGAGAAAGACAGGTAGAGAGGGAAGCACAGAGAGAGAAAGGAGGAGAGAGGGAGGGAGAAAGAGAAGGGGAGATAGGTACAAAGAGAAAGGGAGGGAGGGAGAGATGGGGGAGAGAGAGAGAGGAAGGGAGAGTGATGGAGAGGAAGAAAGGAAGAGGGAAAAGAGAGAGGGAGTGAGAAAGAGGGGGAAGAGAGGGAGAAAGGGAAGGACAAAGAGGAAAAGAGGTGAGACAAGGGGGAGAGAGAGGAAGAGGGGGACAGAAAGAGGGAAGAAGGAGAGAGGGAGGGAGAAGGGGAGAAAGACGGGGAGATAGGAAAAGAGGCAAGGAGAGGGAAAGAGGGAGAAGGAGAGAGAGAAAGAGAGCGCACACGTGGGCACATAACCACTGACCTCTGAAGATGTTTTCTGGGTGAAAGGAGAGGCCTCGGGGCTCCTCAAAGCGGTCAAATCCTGAGAAAGGCGTTGGTGACCCCGCATCGTTGGGAACGAGTAAAAAGTTGTCATAGAAACTGGGGCGCCGTGGGTAATGCCAGTCGGCTTCGAAACGGTCAGCAGGGGTCACTTGACCTGTAGGATCAAACAAGACCATTCTGGGCACCTCAACCCACCCCCCTCTGTATCAGGGACGTCCGCAAAGTGTAAAAAAACCCCTCCCCTAAAAAAAAGATCAAGATGGCGGCCATGGCTGCGCCAGTGA